TCAATTGCGGTATTTGACTCTCATCTTTCTCCCTCTTTTTCTCACTCTTTTTATTTTTCTTTTCTTTTTCAGTATTTTTTTCTTTTTCTATATTCTCTATTTTATTTTCCTCTTTTTCTCCTTCACACTCATCTTCTTTTTCTTGTAAGATTTCATTCTCTATAGCCAGATTGTCACCAATACCTTCTCCTATAACCTTATCACTCCTTGTATTTATTGAATTGCATTGCTCCCTGGGATTGGTTTGTATATTAGCTGAAAATTGTCCTCCTTGCTGCTGCTCAGAGAGTTGCTTAGCCAGTTGGCCTATCTGGATCTCTATATTTCTGAATGAAGCCTCAATATTTTTCTTATTAGCCATAGTGTCTTGCATGAATTTTTCTAAAGTATCCTCCAATTTACTTATTCTGTCATGCATTGAAGGATAATGTTATTGCTGTTGTTGATATGGGGGTTGCTAATATGACTGTTGTTGAAATGCATGTTGTCTAGTAGATGAGCTAACACCTTGGTTCTACCCAAAATTCTGATTCTGATTTTGATTCTCTCTCCATCCTTGTGCAAAATTATTCTGATAATTATTGAGATTAGGAAAATTACCTTGTCTGCCTTGACTACTACCTTGGGCCCCCATATAATTAGTTTCTTCTTGCTGAATGTTGCATTGATAAGAGCATTGTTCATTTGAATGATCACCTCCACACAAATTACAACTAATCTATTGATTAGGAATAGTTTGTACTGTGTGCATTTGTTGAGGTAATTTCTCTATTTTCTGGTTCAATGCTTCAATTTGTTGGGTCAAATTTTATTCTGGGCTAAGAGAGCATCTGTGGTGTTAAGTTCAAGGACTCCCTTCCTTTGAATTAGATGTCTATCATGTTGGGTCTGTTGATCTGTAAAAGCTAGTGCATCAATAATTCTTGTGGCATGATCAATTTCTACATCCAACATGTCGCAAGCCAGTATAGAAAATATTCAACTGAGAAACGTCATCAAATCCATGATTTGGGCAACTTCTCAACAGTGATTTAAATTTCTCCCATGCCTCACAAAATTGTTCATCTGCTCCTTGTCTGAAAGAAGTGATGTCAGATTTTGCTTTGATGTAACGGGATGGTGGGAAAAATCTATTCAGAAACTTCTCTTCTACACTACTCAAATTAGTCAAACTCTGATTAGGATGTGCTTTCAGCCACTCCTTTGTCCTACCTGCCAAAGAAAAAGGAAATAATATCAAATATGCAGATTCAAGATTTGTTGCTCTAAATCCCATGGTACCAATCAACTCATAAAAAGTAGACAAATGAATATAAGGGTCTTCATGATCCAGTCCAGTGAATTGATGAGCACAAATCAAGCTTAAGAAAGCTGGATTCATTTGCAATGTATGATCATCTGGAATGACAATGCTGGAAAAATGTCTTGGACCTTGCTATGTTGCAAACTCACTTGCCATATGGAGAGCATGGGAGAGACCAGTCTACATGGGGGATAAAGAGCTAGGTAAAGCTCGAGTGGTTGTCTCCAATGACTACGAGGAATGGAGAAGAAGCATATGGATGTCACAACCATCCGTTCCACCCATTGCGCCATCAGCAAATGAAGAACTCCAAAATCAAGTCGATATCTTGACTCAAATGATAGAAATCATGGGAGACCAAATGAGGGTCCTTGAGGAGAAAGAACAAGAATCTGTCCTTACTATTGATGGTCTGCAAAGACAGTGCAAGAAGAAGAACCAAGAGATAGAACGCCTCAAGGATAAATGTGCTGACTTCAACGAGGAGGTTATCTGAACATCCAAAGTTCCAAAACTCAACCCGGATAATCAACTCCAAGAAATGACAGCCAAGTTAGCACATCTTGAGGCCGAATATGCAAAGCAGGCACAGACGACAAAGATGATGCAACTAGATCTCGCGAGAACTCGGTCTGAAGCGTAACGGAGGTGGGAGACCACTCAGAGACTTAACAGAAATCTTGTTGAGCTACGCTACAATTATTTATTCAGTGCTCATTTTAATTTATGTTATTTAATTATTTAGAATTTTTATTCTAGTACTGCTTAATTATCATTTTCAATTCATTTATTTTCCAATTCCAATTCACAATTTAGTTTTAGAGTTATCGCTTCTAGAAATTTTAAATTTAATTACTACACTATTTTATTTTAAAGTAATTAATGATTTTTATACTTTTAATTAAAAATAATTTATTTTAATTTTATAAATTTCAGTTATTTAAATTTCGCTCTCATTTAATTTTAATCATCATTAATATTCTATAGTAATTTGATTTTAAATTTTATTATTTTGCATCAATTTATTTCTTTTTCACTCTTTCTTTCATACCCTATTTATTGTTATTTACTATTTTAGAGAAATTGATATGTGGTAATGAGTACGTTCCTATAAATATGTCCTTGTGATATTCTATATGAGTTAGTTATACTGCATTAGTTTAACAACTTGTTTATTATTTTTTATCAGTATTTTGTACGATCAAAATACTGTTATCACCTGTAAACCAAATTTTCTTTTTTCTTTAATTCTTCTGGTTGGAGCACACCAATCCTTTCTCTAAGTTCATCTTGAAAAAAAAAATATTTGTATCACCGCTAACAATAATCTTGTAGATAATGGGATCCACAAGAAATACTCTTTCACATTGTTAGCATAGTTTAAGAATTTTCCTTTCCCGAACTTTAAAAACACAGACTTCCTCTTAATGTGATACACCCATAATATCCTCGAGTAATCATTATCATTACTGACACAAAATATTTGGTCCCTCCTAGGAATAATACTGGCGATTCCAGCATAGTATAATAAACCAAATTCAATATGTTTTTCCTCAATATACAATTTGACGAGGACTCTAAAATCTCCTTTGTTGTACCCTTCTCCTTAAATTTGTTATAACATTATTGTTTATTTTTTTCACCTTTAATTTGTGATCCCCGCAAAAAATTGTCTTCATTTTCAGTTTTTACCATGAGAAATTATTCTCATTAAACTTCTTTATCTCATATTTTGTTGTCATGATTTTAATCGATTTATACACTTTTCACTATGAATAATATTGCTTACTGGAACACAACAGTGTAAATTGTAACTAGTACACCATGTAAGCTCCTAAGAAAGATGTGGGTCACTAATGGACACACTTAAATACCACAGAGCATACTAAGAATAACTCTGATATTTTTCTGATGTGGAAGATAAGATTAACCGCAAAATTGTAACTAGTACACCAGGTAAGCTCCTAAGAAAGATGTGAATCACTAATAGACACACTTAAATACCACAGAGCATACTAAGAATAACTCTGATACTTTTTTTATGTGGAAGATAAGATTAACCGCAAAATTGTAACTAGTACATCAAGTAAGATCCTAACAAAGAGAGGTGAGTTAATAATAAACACACTTAAATACCACAGAGCATATTAAGAATAAGAATAACTCTGATACCATGATTAAGAACCAGAGAGTATACTAAGAATAACTTTGATACCATGGTTAAGAATTAGAATAACTACATAAGAACTCACAATTAAAATAAAAGATGAGAAAAAAGAAACAAAATCGACAATAGGTAATAATAGAATTAGAAACAAAACCGACAATAAGCAATAATATAATTTTACTACCAGAAGAAATTATAATACACTCTTTAAATTTAAGGAAAAAACAATAATAATATTCTCTCTAAAAAATAAGAGACTCAGCTACTATGCAATGTACTAATAGAAAAAAAAAAATTTTGGATGATTTATAATATAGACATTGTGCTTCTTTTATAATAGAAAAAAATAAATATCAACATATAATTTTCTGGATGTGGGACTTCTCTTCTCTCATTCTCACATTTTTCATATAAGTTGATAATGTACAATTTTTTACATTTAAAATGCATAGAAACTATATATTTTTGGCTATGTAATTTGTTTCATTAGCATGATCCTAACAAGAAGAGCATTTACTATGTGGTAGTTTTAGCTAATAAAACAAATCACATTATTCTTTTTGTGATTTTATTCGTGATTTCTAAAAACTAGTTTTATCTATCAAAGCATACTTGTTTGTGTTTACTCCATAATAATTGGTGTACACTATACTGAAGATAATTTCTTATTTTTATTTTTATTTTTTTAAAGGAAAATACATTACCTAAGTCAATACATGATCACGCAAACATAGGCAACATTTAACTTTTTATGTGCATCAAATTTTAATTGGAAAATTCTAAGAAAAGTTTACATAAATTCACGTTTGGATATATAGTTTTATTTAAAATTTGACAAGGTTTCATAAATTTTTATATATTTTAATTGTAGAAAATTTGGTTTTTCTACATAAAATGTAATTGGTTTAAAAACATCTTTGATTAATATAAAAATACAACCTCTATTGTATTCAATATTTTAAGGAGGCTAATATTACAAAAAAAAAAATTAGAATTTTAGAAAAACTCACCATAAACTATAACGTCTTATCTATACACTTAAAATGTATAAATCATCTTCATATTACGTGGTCATTTGCTACAAATATTATATATACACAAGTCTTGAATATGAAACTAATGGGTCATCATAATCTCCATTTTGACTAAAAGGACAAAACAATGAAGCTAATGGGTCATTATCGTCTCCATTTTGACTAAAACGACAAAAAAATAACCCTAAATTATAGTAACATACGTATCAAGGTACCTCATCTCATACTAATAATAAAGGATTTTTATTTTAAATTACTATTCTTGTCAAACCAATTATATCGGATAACGGTCAGTTAAATTGATACTTTTCAACCATTAAGCTTTTAACTTCTTTCCATTACTAAACTATCATTTGAGTATCTCGTTCCATAATTCTCTTTCACAGATCTTTAAAGTTTATTTCGTTGTTCCGATCCTTGATCTAGGTTTTGGCCATTGTTTTGATTCGCCATTGGGGAATTTACTTTTCTTAATTCTGTTGATATTGGCGATGAGATGTCAGATGAAACGAGTTCTTCTGGAATGATTGGAGAGGAGAAAATAGTATGTCAATATGTTGTAAAACATGCACAAAAGGGTATTTGGTTTGGAGATAATCCCCTTCAGCATGACACATCTGTCTTAGTTCTGCAAATTATTGTTATGTATGTTGCTGGTAGAATCACTTATCTCTTATTGAGGCCTTGCCATCAAACCTTTCTCGTTTCACAGATTGTGGTAAGTTTTTTTTTTTTTTTTTTTTTTTATATCACAATTAACTGCTACTAGATGGTTGATTAATTTGAGTTATAAGTATTGATTAATAGTCAAAGGACTATAAGAACAAAATCATTGTTTTGATACAAAATAATTGATCATTTTCTATTTGGTAATGTACAATCTGGAGAGACTACAGTTACTAAAAGTATAAAAACATTCATATACGTGCATTTCAACTTAAATATTTAAAATAGTTATATTAAAACCATGTTTTGAAATGACATATATATATAACTTCTTCTTTTTTCTGAAAAGGTTATTATCTTAGAAAGATAAGGAAATAAAGATTTTATAATAAGTATATGTCAGTTAATTTTTGTAGCTAAGGAGATAATGGTTAGTGAAGATATAAAGTTATTCATAAACATGAAAATGCATTCAAACTTAAGCATTTGAATAATTATATAGTGAAGTCATGTTTCTGAAAAAAAATCTGCATGACTTTTTCTTTTACAAAAGTTTTCTGATAAAATAAAGAGTTTAATAAGCATCAAATGTTAGTATAAAAGGTTTTACTCAACCAATCAATTATATGTTCTTATAATAAACACATTTTTCATCAACATAACGCGCTACTCAAGTTGTTCTAATGCACTATTATCTTGTATTCCTTTTTCGTTGGTCTCGTCAGGCTGGAATCATGCTGGGTCCTGTATTTCTAGGTCGTGACAGTGAAAGTTATCATATGATATTTCCATTAACAAGCCAAATGATCCTCACGACATTTGCAGAATTTGGCATGGTGATCCATTTCTTTAAAATGGGGGTGCAAACCGATCCCAAGAAAATGTTCCAGATTGAAAAGGAAGCAGTAGTGATTGGTTTAGCAGGTCACGTATCTGCTTTAGCTCTCGGTGGTGCAATCTTAAATGTTTTTAGAGTAATCAACCCTGAGGCAACTTCAGACCCTAGTGTTGAAGTTTTAGTGATATCATCTTCTGTGACTGCATTTCCTGTTATTAGTAGCTTCCTAAGTGAGATGAATATCAGTAATTCAGAGGTTGGACGCATGGCTTTGTCCACTTCCATGGTCAGTGATTCGTGCATGTGGATATTGTATTTTGTGGGAATCAATGCAGCTAATGCATTTAAACTACACACATATAAACCAATTACAGAAATAGTTGTATCACTATGTTTTTACTCCATTTTGTTCTTCTTTCTAAGGCCATTGGTTGTATGGATCTCCAGTCGTAATCCACAAGGAAAACCTATGAGAGAAAGCCATTTTGTGTCAATCATTTGTATACTTCTGGTTGTTGGATTCTGTGCAAGTCTTACAGGACAACCTCCTTTCCTTGTTGCCTTTTGTTTTGGATTGATCTTACCGGATGGTCCTCCTTTAGGTTCTGTTCTCGCAGAAAGGCTTGACATTGTTGGTTCTACTTTGATAGTACCATCTTATTGTACCATTACTGGCCTTAAAACCAGTGCTTCTTCATTACTAAAATCCAACTCAATAACCGTAGAAGTTATCTTAATTTCGATGTATGTAGGGAAGTTCGTGGGCACCATGTTACCCTCACTTCACTATCAAATTGAATTCTGGGATTCTTTTGCATTGGCTCTGATCATGTGTTGCAAAGGCCTCGTGGATCTCTGCATGCTCAACCTATTATTCAATTCCAAGGTATGTGACCAATATTTTATTGCAGTACTTGATGTAGTTTCTTAGGTAAAAAATTTCATGTTCTTCAATTAGAGTTATATAGTTCTATATATCTTAGTGCCATATTACATTTAATGCAAATATTGGGTTTATATGTTTTGCTCCCTGATAACTTAACTATTTTCTTTTATTCTTTGGTAAATTTGTCGAGTTTTAATTCCAAAATATTTGCATTTTCAAACATACAAACGCACACGGTCACAAACACATAAACATAAAACAAATTTCACATAAAGAAGTTGTAGTATTGTATTATGATGATATAAGATGTGATCATATCTACTGTGCTAATTTTGCTCTATTTGATGTGTATGAACAGGCAATAGGAGAATTATCTTTCACCCTTGCTATATTTACAATGGTGGCCGTTACTGGGTTTGCAACTGTAGTTGTTTATCACATATACGATCCTTCAAGAAAGTATAAATCCTATATTAGAAAAACAATTAGGAATGCTCAGCAGGAATCTGATCTCAAAATACTTGCATGTATCCATAATGAAGAAAACGTATATCCAATTATTAACCTTTTGCAAGCCACTAACCCCACAGAGTCTACACCCATCTCGGTCTTTATCCTTTACCTTGTGGAGCTTTCAGGTAGTCTAATTCCCTCTCTCTTAAAAAATGAAAATGCTAAGAAATCATCTCAACAGATAAACAACGTCTTTGATCAATTTTATAAGCACAACAATGGGGACGTCAGGTTGCATAGCTTTACTGCAAACACCCCGTTTGCAAGCATGCACGATGATGTCTGCAACCTTGCAATGGACTCCATGTCTAACATTGTGATTATGCCATTTCATAAGCAATGGTCTGTTAATGAAAATATGGAGTACTCGAATTCTTCAATTAGGATACTAAACCAAAATGTTCTAAAATATGCTCCTTGCTCAGTTGGAATCTTCATAGAACGGATTCAGATGAGTGACAAACTAACAGTGATATATAACAAGTTAATTTGCAATATTGCCATGGTCTTCTTAGGTGGAGCTGATGACCAAGAGGCATTGGCTTATAGTTTGCGTGTAGCTCAACATCCAAATGTGAGACTATCAGTGTTTTGGGTACGGGTTAAAATTGTAGGCAGTCATAGGAAAACAAAGAACCCTTACGTTGACTTGATGGAGCATATACGTTATAGTAGTTCCCTTGAGGGAAAAGTGACCTTCAATGAAGAGACTGTGGAAGATGGGGCAGGAACAACAGAGTTTATTCGAAGGATAGAGCCACTTTTTGGTTTGGTCATTGTTGGTAAGCATCATTTAGAAGACTCTCCATGTACACTAGGATTGACAGAATGGTGTGAACTTCCTGAGCTTGGTCCACTCGGAAACCTCTTAGCCGCATCAGACTTTACATGTTCAGTTTTGGTTATACAAGAGCAACCATCCTTTCTCTGTGTATTTAGGTGAATCTCAAGAGAAAAAAGAAAAATACGAAGAAACCTTAGAAGTTATTTGTTACGTGCTGAAATTAATTTGTTAAGTCTTTGAGATAATGGTTTACATGCACTTTTACTAGGTAATTTATATCTTTGCAAATTTGAAAAACTCCTTTCACACCTTAGGAGAAATACAGGATGGCCTTGAGTTTGTTTCAAGGTTAAAAAAGATATTGAACTAGAAAAAGTATAAAAATACAAATTAGAAAGTTTTAAGAATAATTTATGATTTGAAAAAAGAGCTCAAAAGCATAGTATAATAAGACGTTAAATATTAATGCATTATTAATATCTACTCTAATTAAAAAATATAGTTACATTGCTTAATGTTTTGATTATATTTAAACATAATATTTGTTTTTAGATTATTTTTTCTGAAACTTTATATCAGAAGTAGATTAAAAAATTAAAACATGGCCACATTGCTCTTATGTAAACTTTATTAAATATGATGAAGATATAGTTAAAAATTATTTATATTAAGATTAAAAAAAATACTTCTTTTTATAGTTATAATATAGCGAAAGTACAGCAACAAATATATTACAAATACAAAAAATAAACTAAATATGAATCATGATCACGCGTTCAACTCTTCCACTCGTTTATTAAATCAAGTAATATTTTTCTTTTCTAATATTACAGTATATTGCTCGCTTATAATATTTTCAATAAAACTTTAGACAAAATAGTTTTTATCTTAAATATTTCAAAGACATTTAAGATGGACTTAGGACGAATTTACACCTTATAGATTACATCTCAAAATTTGTTTCTGTTCCACCTAAAACTCATCACATGATTTATTAAATTTATGATAAATTAAAAGACAATTTATTTTTATTAAAATACGTATGTTCCTAGTTTAAGATAATTTTGCCTATGTTATTTATTAGTTCATAAAATCAATGTCATTTTAACTTGTATTGCATTGTTCGACGGGAAATTTAGAAGGAACAATTCATCATGGAATCTGAAAACCACAGTTTTTTCACTTTCAAAAAAATAAAAATAAAAAAACTCTTACAATTAGTGGGGGAAAATTGATCATTAACCCGATTGAGGTACTGATAACAATTAAAGTATATTTATAAAAAAAATTAAATATAATAAAAAAATAATATTCATTATCGATCGATTTCATATTAGTCACTATTTATATATATATATATGATATTTAATTCGATCACTATTTCAATTGTAATTGATCGCTAAATCGATCAGCTAAATGATTTTTTATTTTAGTATGAAAATAGCCACCGATTTAGCGATCGAAATTTTGCGACGCAAAATATTGGTCGCTATTTAGTCGCTAAATAAAAAGTGCAAAATAAATCATATTTAGTCGCTAATCGATCACTAACTGCAATCGAATTAAAGTGGTCGCTGAATCGATTAGCTAATTGCGACCGAATTAAAGTGATCGCTAAATCGGTCAGCTAATGGCGACCAAAATTAAATCGGTCGCTAAACGGTTGCTAATTGCAGAAAAAATTGATCGCTAATTTGGTGGCTAAATGTGTTTTTTCTTGTAGTATATATATATATATATATATATATATATATATATATATATATATACTACAAGAAAAAACACATTTAGCCACCGAAATTAGCGACTTAATTTTTCGGTCGCAATTAGCAACCGTTTAGCGACCGATTTAATTTGGTCGCCATTAGCGACCGATTTAGCGACCACTTTAATTCGATCGCAATTACGACCATTCAGCGACCACTTTAATTCGATTGCAGTTAGCGACCATTTGCGACAAATATGATTTATTTTGCACTTTTTATTTAGCGACCGAAATAGCGACCAATATTTTTGCGTCGCAAAATTTCGGTCGCTAAATCATGGCTATTTTCATACTAAAATAAAAAAATCATTTAGCGACTGATTTAGCGACCGAATTACAAATTGAAATAGTGACCGAATTAAAATCGATCATTAATGAGAAAATAGCGACCAATTGAAATCGATCGCTAATGAATATTATTTTTTTATTATATTTAATTTTTTTTATAAATATACTTTAATTGTTTTAGTATATTTTTTACAATTTATTTTTTAAAAGTAATTTATTTTTTAAAAATATTTTAATTTTTAAAATATACTTTAAAAATAAACTTTGGTCTCAATATTAACAAAATGAATTGTAATAAATCAAATTTATTAAAAATTTAAATTGTAATAAATTAAGACTAGAGTGATGTTAACTATTCAATACATTGTTTAAGAAAAGTTTAATAACAAATATTCTTGAATTTATTTTTCAATTGAAAATTTCAATTGAAATTAAATTATATTTTAAAAATTTATATTAAAAAATTGAAGAAAATAGAGATTTAATTATACTTTTAATAAATTTAACATAATAATAGTTTTGATTTTTATTTTTAAATTTTTATTTTAATTTTTTTAAAACAGAGAAACTATAATTTTAGTTTCTAAATACTAAATTTAAAGAATTAAATTTATTATTATTTAATCTTTTAATTTTAGTATTAAAAATTTAAATGATATTTTATTAAATTAAAATAATATTACAATATATTTTTCTACTTTGACAATGAAAAATATAATTAAACTAAAACTGAAAATATTATAATACATTTTTGAACTCTTTTTGATTAATTTTATTTTCCTAATTTTTTATAAAGTCAATTTTAATATTTAAAAGTATTTAACATTTTGCTTTCTAAAATGTTTTATGTATTACCAAATTCCAGTTCTTAATAACCTCTACAACCAAATTCCAATTGCAGAGAAACCAAGTGCCCAAATTCCAGGCACCAAACAATACAAAAAGAATGTAAAGAAATGAAAAGGAAGAAACTAGAATGCTCAAACCAGTTTATGCAATTCTGCTGTAAGTGTTTCTTCTTCAAAAGAAATTAAGTTGCCTCAAGAAAGATTTTCAAAGAACTTCTCAAAAACTTATGCGAATCTTTCTTGAAAAGAGTGTTGAAGTTTGCTTGATTGATTGCTCAAGGATGTGTAAAAGATGATATTCAATGTATGTTAAAAAAGTTCAAGCCAAACTGTTTTTATAGAAGATTTTCAAAACTACTTGGTTTAATTAATCTGTTAAAAGATTCTTTTAATCTGTTAAAAGTGCAGTTTTAATCTGTTAAAACTTCTTTTAATCCATTAATACGTTCTTGATTCTTTAACAGATTTGTTTTAAGCTGATACGACAACGTTTATATCAATTAAAACACTTTACAAAAAATCTTCTAAGTTGATTTAATCGATTGTTTCACGATTCAATCGATTGAAATACTGCAAAACTTTCTTGTAAAACTTTTCAAGTTATTTTAATCGATAAAAATAAGTTTTAATCGATTAAAACACTGTGTAGAAATTTTTAAGTTGTTTTAATCGATTGAAACGAGATTTAATCGATTAAAATAGTTCTCATCGGTCATAACTAAATTCTGATCGATCATAACTGATTCTGATCGGTCATAATTGCATTCTGATCGATCATCCTGAACCCTTAAGTGGTTTTAATCGATTAAAATCAAGTTGTATCGATTAAAATATTGTAAAAACATTTCACTTGACATTTTAAGTAGTTTTAATCGGTTCTATCAAAGTTGTATCGGTTAAAAACTTGTTTGAGAAAGCTTTTGTCAAAATACTTTGTTTTTAATTGTTAAAAACATTTTTAGAGGCATTTTGCAAAATCTTTTAAGTGAAGAAACCTCGTGCAACAGAAATCTTTTAATTTTAGTATTAAAAATTTAAATTATATTTTATTAAATTAAAATAATTACAATATATTTTTCTACTTTGAGAATGAATAATATAATTAAACTCAAAATTGACAATATTATAATACATTTTTGAACTCTTTTGGATTAATTTTTTTTCCTAATTTTTGATAAAGTTAATTTTAATATTTAAAAGTATTTAACATTTTGAATTCTGAAAGGTTTTCTCTAATAGTAAATTTAAAAACATAATATTCAAAAAAATAGTTAATATAAGTTTTAATTATGATCGATCATAATTTGAAATGATCGATCATAATTGAGTGGATATAATAGTGGTTCCACGTTAACCGCTATCTTAAGTGCATATTAGATAGCGGTTAAGGTTTAACCGCTTATTAGAAGTGGTTTTTAATAGCGGTTCAAGTAGAACCGCTATTATATACAACAAGATTTTGAGATTCTGATCGATCAGATCTTCAAAATGATCGATCATATTTGATAATTTTTTCAAACAATTAATTATAATCGATTAGTTTTCTAAATTATTGATTAGAATTGATTAGTTTTTTAAATAATAGATTACAATTGATTAATTTCTGAAATATATATTCAAAAATTATAATTAAAAATATACATTATTTAAGAATATTAACTATTGTAAAGTTAAAGTTGAACATGGGAGGAGATGAGGATGATAATATAATGATAGAAGTTAAAAAATGTAGAATTGAGAAGTTTGAAACAAAAAAATTAAGAAAATAGAGATTTAATTACACTTTTAATAAATTGAAGATAATACTAGTTTTGATTTCTATTTTTAACTATTTATCTTAATTATTTAAAACAGAGAAACTATAATTTTAGTTTCCAAATACTCAATTTAAAGAATTAAATTCATTATTATTTAATCTTTTTATTTGAATATTAAAAATTTTAATTATATTTTATTAAATTAAAATAATTACAATATAATTTTCTACTTTGAGAATGAACAATATAATTAAACTCAAAATTGAGAATATTATAATACATTTTTGAACTCTTTTGGATTATTTTTTTTTCCTAATTTTTGATAAAGTTAATTTTAATATTTAAAACTATTTAACATTTTGAATTCTGAAAGGTTTTCTCTAATAGCAAATTTAAAAACATAATATTCAAAAAAATAGTTAATGTAAGTTTTAATGATGATCGATCATAATTTGAAATGATCGATCATAATTGAGTGGATATAATAGCGGTTCCACGTTA